TGGGTTATTGTTGCACTAACTAAGTTGTTTTGCATTGATGGACACCGCCATCTTAAGTCTGCCATCTTGGATCACACTATTTTCTCAGAAAGTCATGACGTACAATTACAATCATACAATACAAACTTGAGTGTTTGACATCTCTCCTCAATCGAAATCAAAATTTAGGTGAAAACGGAAAAATAAAATCATAGAATTCCATACTAATTACTTGATCAGATATCCGAAGGTTAGATTAACCTCTCGTGTGACACGAATTTTTGCGAGATTGAGTTTTTCCATTTAATGATTGTCAAGATTGAAAGAAGGAAAGAAGAAGGAAGATAAGGCAAGTTATTCTTCCTCTTAGGTGAATACGGCCATTGAGCTGTACTTATCAGGATATATAATGCGTACTAGGTGCATTAGTTGGAGGGAGCACCTAGAAGGCAATCGATTGAATTAACAATGATGCTTTGAGTCTGGAGTTTACAACAGTCTTGTTACCATGCTGCCCATCATTCAAAATGGCAATAATGATTTAGACATTCCCGGACAGAAACGTATATTTTCCAAGATGTCTCATGAACAACGTTCATTCTTTTAAGATGTGGACGAATGCTCCAGTACTCCCTGCCTGAATGGAGGGGTTTGTACCGATCAAGTAAATGGATACAAATGCACTTGTCAGCCGGGTTTTATAGGAATCAATTGTCAATCAGGTAAGCGCACAACCACGTAAAAAATAAAACTTTATATATTAAGCGACACACTGAATCACTCACTCAATCGTCCTCGTGAACTTGGTCGCATATAAGGTCATGACCGGACACCGCCACTGTTTCCAGTGTCTTTCGCTTCTTTCCTTAGCTTTTCGCCGCTGACTTCACTAGCCTTCATCGCCCTTTTTTCTCATAAAGCTAGAAGCTCAAACAAACTTTGCGTAGAAAGCATACCGTAAATTTCCGATAGTAACGACCCTTGATACTTTCAGAATTAGCAGCCTTTTGGAGGGTCGCTACTTTCGGGGAGAAAAAAATGTTACACAAAGTTGGTACAATTGATCTTTTTTATGAAATAAAAGATGGCAATTCATAAGAAAACATTTTTGTTAAAACGATGTAAAAGTTCGTCATTGTTCCAGTTTCATGTTACTAACAGATGGGCCGCCTCTACATGTCTACATTGTGTTGTCTGTTGTAGGCAAAAGTTGTGCAAGTTTCTCCCGGAGTTTTTTTTTTCAGCCCTTTAATCATCTTTTTTTCAACTTGACATCATAGAAACAAGGAATCTCTATTCCTTCTCCTTGGGGTGGCTTACTACAGTTTCGATGGATTATAACAGCGAACTTCTATCTCTTTTGAAAAATGTTCCAAGATGTTTTTTCTTTCTTTATTTACTGTTTGCTTAAGTCTTTTGCCATTCTATGTGAAACTTGAACAATTGAGAACCTAAGGAGAGACTGGGCACTGGCAGGTTAAATCATGTTTTCTCAAAATCTACCCGTATATGTATAAACCCATCTCAAAATTTCAGGAATAAGAAATTGGCTCTGATTTAACATTCGTGCAAAGTAAAATAAAATTCTGTAAGACAGATTTTTCGCAAACTAAGAAAATGTGAAATCAATAATAGCTCAAAATCGGTCTTACAGATTTTTTTAAAATTTTGGCTCTAAACGTGATTCACCCCTAAAAATCAACTGTAAAAATTTCATTATGGGTTGTACGGTAGGTTTTCGAGCAATACTCGATCAAAGACTGACTTTTACAACCTCGGACGAGAATTAAACTGCGCATGCCCTTTATTTAAGCGCGCGCTCATATGACGCCATGTATCGCGTGCGAGAAAGCAAGAATAAATTAAGGCACTTTTACCGATTGTTTATCGAGCTTTTTTGTCATATTTTTTAGGAGCTAGATTTAAAGACGTGTTTGAACGGATTTTGAAACTATTGCTACGTATACCGAAGTGATTTAACGCCTTTCAAGGGCTGAAGTGGTTTTTGTTTCTTCTTAGGGTTACTTGCGTCATTTTTGCACGCGCGATTAATTCTGACGTCTGGCAGGCAATCATAGGGCGGGCTACCGATTCTCCGAAGAACTGTAGTAAGCCACCTTAAGCTCCTTGGACCAACACAACCTCAGGCGCGCTCCTGCTTTGACCGGACTACCGCATGGGGGAATCAGCCGATTTTTCCATATTTTTTTTAAGCTGAAGCGTTTCCGTTATTACCCACGTTCCTGTTAAAAATGACATGAAGAGTTTTAAATTTTAATGCGAAGAAAAGTTTATTTTCCTGCTCACTTGACTATTGATTGGAGAAATAAATATACCGTTGCATTAAACTTTGGTCTCGCTATTTTTGGCGGTTAGCTGGAGTCGGTGTGGGGCTGGGCTCGCTACTTTCTGGAAGGACTTACAAGAGGCAACGATTTTTTGACGTTACTTTCTAGGCGGTGGCTATTTTCAGGGGGGGGGGTCGTTACTATCAGAAGTTCACGGTTTATGTTTCGTTTTGAAATTTAAATAGACTAGTTGCTATTCTGTGAGATAGAAACGCTGTAGTTTTAGGGGTGGATGGACCCCCTCCCCCCNATGTTATTAGCTGTACATATAATGTGCATTAGTGCTGCACTAACCTGATAATGGATTTCTTTTGCTATTTGTCTGCACCAGACCTTTATCTTGTGCAGAGGTTACTGTTTCCACCTTCACGGTCACACACACACACACACACACACACACACACACACACACACACACACCTGGGTTATCGTTGCACTAACTAAGCTGTTTTGCATTTAATGGATACCGCCATCTTAAGTCTGCCATCTTGGATCACACTATTTCCTCAGAAAGTCATGACGTACAATTACAATAGTATATAGGAAATTTATCGGGAAAATGGTAGCGAGATGTCAGTAACAAAGTAGCTACTTAAAGCCATTTAACAATTAGACCCGTAGCGTGCAAGGGCTACGGGTCAATACCCCATGAGGCGAAGTCGAATGGGCTATTGACCCGTGGCCCTTGAGGGCGAAAGGTCTAATTGTTTTAGTATCACCCAACTAGTCGGACAAAAAAGGGAATAATAAAGTTAGCAAATGCAAGTTGAAGAAATATTTATTTGGGAATAAAACGAAAGAAAGCGTCATGCTCGATTGCACCCATTTCGCTACTCGAGGACTATTACTAATAGTCCTCTGGTAGCGTAGCCAATCAAAAAACAGGATTTGCATTAGTCCACTAGTTGGATGATACTAATCAAGAATAGTAGAAGAAAAGATGAATTCGGTTAAAACAGGCCAATTTTGGCTTTACTCTTATGTTATAATGTGGTTACTATGGCGATTTTAATTGACGCAGAGAAAGAACTGACGGAGTAAATTCTCTTTTAAAAAAGAAACTTTCGGGTGTGGCACCCACGACCCACCCCCTTAACACCCACTTTGGTAGACCCTTCTACTACCGAGGATTTAAGGCAAATAGCTTTTAGTTTAGATCTGTTGCCTAAGTTAACTAAGAGAAATCATTACAAATAACTCTCCTTCATATTGCAACTCAGACTGTTCAGCGGCTTTGGGAATGGAAAACTACAAAATAACATTTGCACAGATTTCAGCCTCTAGTCAGTATGACAATTATCATGCTCCAAACCAAGGGAGGCTAAACTTCAAGATTAGTGGGAGTTACGTTGGAGGATGGTCTGCAAGAGCGAATGATCTAAACCAGTGGTTTCAAATCGATCTTAGAATTGAGACAAATGTGACTTATGTGGCGACTCAAGGAAGAAATCAATACAACCAATGGGTGACCAAGTACAAGTTGCTGTATGGAAATGATGGAAATTCATTTCAGGTCTTCAGGCAACAAGGAGAGAGCTTAGATAAGGTTTGATAGGTTTCTTTTATCCGCCCAAGGCAAATCTTAAGCCACAAGTTAAGCTGAAAGACTGATAGGCATTTGCACGTGATTTTCTTTTATCCCTTGTCAACCCGGGGGATTTGGGGGGCGAAGAACATGGAATCAGTATCTGCAATGATATTTATGCAACATATCACGAAGTAATTATTCACGATATCCAAACAATATGTCATCATTGATCCATCATCTTGGATCCGCGTGCCATTTTGGGTGTCTTCAAACGTCAAACGTCAAATAACCCCAAAATTGACTCAAAACAGGTCAAGAAGTGCTACGAGAAATCAAAAAAATCAAAAATAACGGTATTGAAGGCAAATGTAGGTAACAACAAGAAGAAAAAGATCAAATCTGGAAAACATGCCTTTCAAAATACGGTTGCCATATAGAAGCATCAAGATCCTAGTAAAGCAATTACTGTCGATATATACCTGTGCAATATAAACCCGCAGTCACGGGATATAGAGAACACGAAGAAAGCTTGTAAATCAGGAGCCGTCAGCTGAGGGGCCGGGTTTACAAGCTTTTCGAGTGCTCTCCCAATACCATCCCAAATGGGTTCATCGCGACGGGTTTCAAAAATCCCTTGAACGCGCGATCTATTGTTCTTATGAAATATCTATTCGATACTTTTGTCAAAGTGAGGGAAATTGATTACAATTTTTTGTGATCAAGTTGCTTATTCTCCACAAATTGATAACATGACGCCGCAAACCAATCACACCACTCACAGTTTCTTTAGAGGCTAGTCTTTGTTCACACAGGGGTATCCCTCGCCAGCCGAATCCTGAACAAAATTTCAATCGACAAGAGCTCAGTGAAAACAACCCGCTTAAAGTAGTTCGAAAACAAAGCAAACCACAACGGACAAAGAAACGTAGACAAGTTTTTGGTTTTCGAAGAGGCCTAGGCGTGCTAAATATATTTGTTGCAATTAGTTTGCTGTTAATCTTTTACAGTTCACTTCAGTTGAGTCTACAATATTCTTCAGAAAACTTTCTTTGTTCTAATATATCGAGTTACTCCAAGGGAAAAATCCCGTTGTCACGTATGACCAGAGCGTCACTGAATCAGTTAAATGTCTAAAGCTTGCTACGTTATATTTTATCTGGTTGGCATAATAACTTTCCATTCAAAACATCTTTAGGTGCTTGTTGGAAACAGTGATACTGAGACCGTGGTAAAGCATCCTTTGAATCCACCAATCAAAGCACGATATGTGAGGCTGATGCCCACAGCGTGGAATAATCACATTTCTTTGAGGATGGAACTCTACGGCTGTTTTGGTAGGAAAGTTTTAGTAACAAGCTCAAGTTGACGACTTACTTAAAACAACAACAACAACAACAACAACAAAACGTTTGAACTAGTCGTGTCAGGAATGCGTTCATAATGGTAAAGTGTTTCGAAATTTCAGGACAGCATAAATACTGTAGGAAGAATGTTTCTGCTCAAAACAATTTTGAACCATGTTAGTAAACTGATGTGAACAACTTGTAAGTACTCAAAAGCTTGTAACACGTCAATCAACTGCATGCTGGAAAAACTGTACGCGTACTTCACAACTATTTCAGCCGGAACAAAGGTGGGCCGCACTAAGAGAATAATTGCCTAAGTTCCTTTCAAGAGAGACCCACAGCTGATATTCTCCTAGTACGATCTGAGCAAGCTTGGTTAGTAAGAGATATATCGTACAACTGAAAATGTTTAGAAAAAAAATGCCACCACCACGGACCAAAAAAAAAAAAAAAACAGAAAGAGTTGCAGGAAAAAGAAAAGGAATGTTTATGTGAAAGCACGGGTAAGCCATAGAGCTACCAGAAAGTCGTCGAGAGCGACCGTGCGGGATCATTTGGGGGCAGTGCCCAGTCTAGTGCTATCGGACCAGCAATGGAGCAATCTGATTGGTTGATTCTATTTATTGGCTCTTTAATCTAACTTAGTCGTGGAATGGAAATAAATATTGATCTTTTTTTTTTTTTTTGCGAGAGCGTTTTTCCTACGAAAATATCTTGACTGTAGCATTTAGCAAGAAATTATTAACCCTGACTACCTTACGGTTTTCTTTAACTCTGTAGACGAAATTCGAGCTCTTGGTATGGAAAGTGGTGCTATTGCAGACTCGCAATTAACTGCTTCTTCAGAATGGGATGTCTACCACAGCCCCAAACAAGGGAGATTGCATACTAGAGAGACTGTTAATGGGCGTGGCGCCTGGTCAAGTTTGACGAATAATTTGAACCAATGGCTTCAAGTTGATCTTGGTAAAATCACGCCTGTCACACACGTGGCTACACAGGGAAGGAATTCCTGGTCTCCTGCACAGATGGTAACAAAATACCAGTTGCAGCTCAGCGACGATGGAGCATCATTCTTGTTTTACAAAAGACAAGGAGAATCTTCAGACGCGGTAAATAGAAATACTACTACAAGATATTCGTTTTCAACATCTGCAAGATGAATGATAACGGTCACACGTATAATACGTCGATATTCAAGTGGGTCAAGATAAGTCTTGGACGCACGAATTTTTTTGCTTAACATTGACAGATATTATGAGATTTTTTTTTTTATATTTCTTTGATGGCATCTTTAGCCACATTGACTCAAAGGACTGTGAACAAGAGTAATATTTTCCCCAATTTGGCACCCGCATTTTTTAGTCCTATGATAAATTTCAGACGAATGATGCGTCTGTGTTATGTATTGTATTAAAGCATAAAACAATTTTATGACCGTTTTGAATAAAGGATTTTACACACGTCTTCTATATTCGCGGTTCGTTTTTAATTTCTCGAACCGCGTTTAACACGTGTCTTGAGAATTGAAGAGCTCCAAACGCGAAGGGATGCGCGTAGTCATTGCACATTGAGAACCTCGATATTCTCTTTCTTATTCTTATTGGGGATACAAGTTTATAATAAACTGCTGTTGAGGGTTGTTGAAAGAAGTCTGCTTTTCTACCATCTAAAACCTGCTCACTGTTTATTTCATGAGATCTACTGAGTAAATAATGACAACATTTAGTAGCTGAAAGACAAGCTTTAACATAAGTGTCGAAAGTAATTCGCGTTTGTATTGGTTTTGCATTTCTACACTTATTGATAAGTTTAAAAAATTCCCAGCACTTATTCAACTAATCAGAAGGGAAACCAAAACAAATCGCCTCTCGCTTACACATATTTTCCAGCACCTCGCGGCAGCCACACGTTTCCGATTCGAGTTTTGATTGGTTCGCTGTAATACCAGTTCCCTTTTCAATGAAATGTTGTTACTTTGTGATGATATATTGTTGATAGTTTCTATGCTCACCACTATGTATATTTTTAGGTGTTGGATGGCAATACTGATCACGACACCGTTGTCTATCACCATTTAAATCCACCAATTACCGCACGGTTCTTACGGATAAAGCCAACAGCATGGCAAACTCATATCTCTATAAGGATTGAGCTCTACACTTATCGAGGTATTTTAGTTCATTATAAATAAATAAATAAATAAATAAATAAATAAATATACA